GTCCATGGCGAGGGAAATACGAGCTGGGCATGGCTCCCTGGCCCCTCCTGGCCATGTGGGACCCTGGTGTCATGCTGCCTGCCCCGCCGGCCTGAGCAGCCCTGGTTGATGGAGACGCCTGTGTGAGCATGTGGGAGGGAGCGTCGCCTCAGCAGGGGTCCCTGCACCCTGAGTGTGAATCTCCCAGACAGACCGTGCTGTCTACCTTGTGCTTGGATGTCTGGAGAGAAAGGAGGAGGCCTGGAGGGTTTGCGCCCTCATGTCCGTGGGCTGAGCCCTTGGAAAGGCCAGGGGACGCTGCCCATGTCCTACGGTTAGCTTTATTACTCTGTCTGTTAGTCATTCAGGTGGCTTAGACTCCCTTGGAGGACTCAGGTACCAAGTAGAATATGCAGATGAACAAATGACAGATGTGGTGGTGCCTTTGCAGGCACTCTCTCCTCCGTCCTCTTCATTCCTTAAACACACCAGCTGGTTCTGGCCACAGGGCCGTTGCACAGCTGTTTTTTCTGCCTGAGATGCCCTTTCCCCCTATCCTAGTGTCTCTCTGCCATTCAGATCTCAGCTTAAATGATGTCACCTCCTCAGAGAGGACTTTCCTGGACACCCACTCTGAAGTTGTCACCCTGTCACCCTCTTTGCTTTAAATCTGTGTAGAGCAAATATCACTACCCAATGTTTTCTTGTTTGTTCCTTGTTGGTATTGGGTGTAAGCCCTGTGAAGGTGGCAACCTTGCCCATCTTGTTCCCTGGTGTGACACAGTGCCTGGGCAGAGCTGGACACAGTCGGCACACACTCACTTCATGCACAAGGCCAGTAGTCACCCTTGAGCAGAGTGTAGTGATTAAAGGCACCAACTATAAAGTCAGGCGACTTTGGAAGCTAGTACTGATTTTTGCCATAGATTAGCTGTGTGATCTGAGCCCAGTTACAGGTCTGTGCCTTGGTTTCCTCATTTGTAAAAGGAGGCTAATGATAGTCCCTATCTTGCAAGGTTGCTATAAGTTTATATGAAGTGGTGGGTGTTGGACCTTTAGAAGAGTTTCCATAGTGTAGTGGGTACATTGTAACTTGTAGCTATGGCCTTCATCATCATCATCACCACCACCATCACCACCACCATCGCCAAATCACCACCACCATCACCACCGTCATTACTACCATCACTATCATCACCATCATCACCACCACCATCAATCACTATCATTACCATCACCACCATCATTACCACCATCACCACCACCATTGCCGTAATCACCACCACCATCACCACCATCACTACCATCACCATCATCACCATCATTACCACCACAATTACCACCATCACCACCATGATCACCATCATCACCACCACCATCATCACCATCATCAATCACTAACATTACCACCACCATCACCACCATCATTACCATCACCACCATCATTACCACCACCATCACCATCACCAGTCACTATCATTACCACCGCCATCACCACCATCACCATCATTACCACAATTACCACCATCATCACCATCATTACTGCCATCACCACCATCACCATCATTACCATCACCACCACCACCATCACCACCATCATTCATCATCACTACTATTGCCTCCATCACCATCACCACCATCCTCACCATCACCAACATCACCACCATCATTGTCACCATCTCCACCATCACTGCTGCTATCACCATCCCCACAACTATCATCATCATCATCACCATCACCGTCATCACCATCCCCACCACTACTACCATCATCTCCCCACATGCCTGCCATAGTGTCCTGCATGGACTGCCATGTCAGGGCCAGGTGATTGGAGATTGATGAACCCCTGCTCTGGGGTACGGCAGCCTGCTCTTCCAGGCAGATGGCTAGGACTGGGAGAGGTGGTGGCAGTGACATCCCTCCCATGACAGCAACCCCTGGAGGCAAGGGGCATAGGGGAGGCCATGGCTTTCCTGCGAGAATGAGCCCCATGTGCAGCACTTTTGGCTCTGCAGATGTGATGCTTGCTGCCATGGTGACCGTCCTAACAATAACCTCCCAGAACTGATATTCCCCACATCCATCCCAGCTGCCACCTGGGAGAGAGAGCCCTCCTCACTGACGAAAACCAGCTAGAAAGGATAAGGTGGGAGGTGGACATGACGTGGAGGTGCGGGTAGAAGAGGGCCCTTCCTGCAAGAGGGGTGAGAGGCCAAAGCCAGATGAGAGGGCTTCTGGGGTCTGGAACTCCAGAAAGCATCATGGCTGGTAGCCCTTCTCCCTTCCAGCTTTTCCACTGTTCTGGGGAGGAACCCTCTGGGTCTGGAGGTGGGGAGTGGGTTGTCCTGTGAGTGGAGTTGAGGGGTTGGGCTGTATAGGCAGGGACCCTCTGGGTCCCTTTGGTAGCTCAGTCATTCCTCACTGTGGTGCCCTGATCACCCTGCCCTCCCTGCTCTCCTCAGGGTCACTCGGTGTCATGCCTTTAATGTTCCAGCCCAGAGGAGGGGCTGCCCTGTGGACCTCAGGAGCTAACAGGAGTAGAACAACGGCCTCAGATCACGCCCTTTTAGTGACCCTGACCTCATGTAAACTTGATCCTGGGCAGTCTCCCCACCCGGGGGAAGGGACCTCAAAACAGACACCCAGAGTGCTGTGTCCTTGCCCAGGCCTGTAGGACGCCGTGCATGTGTGTGAGTGTGCATTGAGTGTATATATGTGTGTGTGTATGTGAGAGTGTATGTTTGAGTGTGTGTGCATATGTGTATGGTATATGAGTGTATGTGAGTGTGGGTTGTGTATGTGTGTGTATTGTGTGAGTGTGTATGTGTGTGAGCGTGTATTTGTGTTTGTATGTGTGTGTGTGAAAATAAAAGAGAAAAGAGGCTTAATGGGGCAGTAAGGTTTGAGTCCCAGCCACTTCTTGGCTGTGTGACATTGGGCAAGTTGTTTCACCTCTCTGTCTCTCTGCTGTCCCCCCTACTAATGTGGGGATCATAATACTGTATGTCTCCTAGGACTGAGAATTAAATGAGATAATACATGTAGAATGCATATAAGCAAATCAGTGTCTGCTGTCATGGTGATTTTAATGCCACTTGATCATTGCGTGGCCTCACACTGGAAGGAGCACGTGTGACGCTGTCAGCGCACAGGGTCTGCTTGTAGCCTGGACAGAGCCTGGTTTACTGAGGGGTGCAATTTTGTTTTGTTTGCTTGCCAATTGTATTCTACTGTGTGGGACTGTCTCCTTCTCCTTCCGCTGCAGATGGCCCAGCATGTGTGGGGAGAGGCTCCTGTGGGGCAGAACACAACTGTAAGAGCAAGCCTCTGTTGGTGGGTGAGGGGCCTCCAGTGCTCCCCTGGCTGCCCCAGGAGAGGTGGGCGCCTGCCCACGAGGAGGCACCTGTGGTGCTCTGGTTCCAGCACTGAGCCCTGAAGGTGGTCTCCCCCTCTGCCCGGCCCTGCAGAGGTCAAGGCCACATCCTCCACAGGGCCCCCTCTGCCCCCAGTCCGGGTCCGGCCTTTACCCCAAGTGTTCCTTGGCCTCCAGCTGTCTCTTGGGTGCAGGCTGGGTCTGCAGAACCACCCAGTACAGGGACTGGTCACCACCTGGTCTACTCACCTGCCTGACAGCCGTGTGCCAAAGGCATCCTGGTCGGGGGGGGCCCTGGGTCCATCCCCACCGCCCACTCCTGCCTTGGAATCCCTGCATTAGATCTTTTATCCAGGAAATATTTATTGTGGCTTCTGGGACCAGCCCCGGGCTGGCCACCAAGGTGAGCGAGATGAGCAGGACAGGCCCAGACCCTCTGCCTGGGGAGCCCACGGTGCAGCAAGTGGTTCCTGTCAGGGCCTGCTGAACCGCCCAAATCCGGAGCTGGCTGCTAGAAACTGCATTTCCCCAGGGCCTCCGCAGGACGGACCCGGCCCTTTCCCCTCTGAGGAGCATGGGGCTGCTGAACCAGTGGGTTGTCTTCACTGGATCTGAAGCCCCGGCTCTGGATGGCAGCCTAGGTGTGGCCCTGGGAGGGGCTCTTCTGTGGGGCATGGGGTCAGCCCAGCCTCGCCTGCCCCTCCCCCCCGCTCGCCCCTCCTCCTCTCCTGGGCCACTTTCAAGATGGACCCGCTTCTTCCAGGCCCGAGCTGGAAGCAGGCAAGTGGACCAGGCCTGGGAGAGGGAAAATGTGTGCCCCTACCTGGGCAGGGGGGCTGAGAGCTCTCAGGACCCCAAGATGCAGACGGAGCAGCCACTGTTTCCCTGATTCGACACTCTGCCTGAACTGGCAATGTCTGTTCCTGGGACCTCTGTTCCAGACACCCCAGTGTCCAGTGCTAGGAGGAGGGAGGGGCTCGGACCATGGGGGAGGGGGTAGCCTTCACCCTTTCATCTCCCACTCCCAGTGTCCCCAGGGTGCAGGCCTGGTCTGGGAGGCTCCTGGGCAGCTCTGCCAGGGGGCTGCACTGTGCGGTGTAGAGTGGTGGAGACCCGGTCAGGAGGGGTCCTGTAGCATCTCCTCCTGGGGGTGTGAGGAATGAGTCTGTGGAGGGAGGACTCCCCCCTCCCCCATGTGCACCTGAGGCCCCTCCTGAGGTCCAGGTCAAGGCTGGCCTTCAGGGGAGAGAGGGGGCTGGGTTCACTGTGTGCAGTCTCGTGTGTGTGTGTGTGTGTGCGTGTGCGTGTGCGTGTGTGTGTGTGTGTCTGTCTGTCTGTCTCGTGCAGGGAGGCTCAGGGAGCCAGCGGTTCCCTGTGTGCTTCGCCCCAGGCGCATGGCCGCGGGTGCTGGTGCCAGCGCAGCATGTGCAGGGCCAGGGCGCGAGTGCGAATTCTGGGAGCAGGAGTGGGTGCGAGAGCGTGTGCAGGGCGCGGGCGCTGCTGTAGGTGCAGGGCTCAGGTGCGTGTGCGGGTGCGACTGTAGGGCGCGATTGCGGGCGCGGGGAGCGTGCAGGGGGCGGCGGGCGGGGCGGGCGCGGCGGCGGCAGTGACAGCGTCGCCCGCGCTCCCCGCGCGTAGGTGTGCGGCGCGCTCCTGTCGGGCACGGAGCGCGCAGATCTCGCGTGCGCTCGCCGCCCGGCGCAGCCCAGCCCGGCCCCCGCTCGGCGCCGCGAGCCGAGGTGTCGCCCGCGCCCGCTCCCGTGTCGCCGCCGTGCCCGCGAGCGGGAGCCGGAGTCGCCGCCGCCCGAGCGCAGCAGAGCGCACGCCAAGCCCGTCCGTCGCCGCCATGGCCACCACGGTGACTTGCACCCGCTTCACCGACGAGTACCAGCTCTACGAGGATATTGGCAAGTAAGAGCCGCGGCGCGTGCGGGCTGGGCCGGGGACCCCGGAGGGCGCCGCGCTCCGAGGGCCGGGACCCTGGAGACCCAGATCCTCTGCGCCGCCGGCTCCGGGTGCACTGCGGCCCCGCGCGACCCCGGCTCCTCCCGGCTCCGAGCCCGGAGCGCACGGTCCCGCGCGGCCCCGACCCCCGGGCCCCCGGGGCCCAGCCGCCGGACCTCGGCGCGCGCGGCCCTGCCGGGCCCTGTCCAGCGCGACCGCCCGGCCGGAGGCCCCGGCTCGAGGCGCGGGGCTCGGTGCAGCGGGGGCGGCAGCAGGTGTCCCCGGAGCGCCCGGCAGACGTGACGCATTTGGCGGCCGGAGGTCGGAGAGGAGCGGCGCGCGGGGGCGGCCGCGGGGCCTGGAGCGCGGGGGAGGGGGCGGACCTAGCCGAGAGGGTCGTCCCCGGCGCGAGCCGCGCTGTCCCCACCCCCAACAAGCGGCTGGGCGCGGGGGCGGCGGGACTTGCTCTGCGCCTGCTTCTCCGCGTGGCTCCATCCGCGCGGGGGGTGCCAGCTGCGCTCCGCGCCGCGTGGGAACAGCCTCTGCTGTGGGTGCCCAGGGGAATCGGGGTTCTGGAGGATTTTCCCCCAGATCCTTCTGGAAAGAGGAGTCTGGAGTGCTGGGGGCTGAGGTCAGGGAGCTTGGATCAGGTCACCGGGGTGAAGATGAGGGGGTGAGGTGGGAGCCTGATGAGCTTCAGGGTCATGGAGGCAGGTGGGGGCTGGATTCTGGAGAGTTGTTTGCGGGGAGGTGATGGGAGGGACTTTGAAAGCTCGTTTCAGGTAGGGCCTCACCGGGGAACAGGTGGCTCCTGGGCTTTGCTCGCCAGCAGGAGCCGTGTAGGGCCCTAGACCTGCCTCTGCCTCCGGGCTCTATCCCGAAGCGGGTCGGCGGCTCCTCTCTGGACTGGGGGTCTCCACTCTGTGCATCAGGGTGGCTGCACCTGGCATCTCCACGTCTGGCTCCAGAACTCCTGAAGCCCTGGCTCCAGCCCGGCGCGGCCAGAGCCCCGTCCTCCTCCAGCCCACCCCGTGGAAGGGGCGCTGGCGAGGTTTCCTCTTACTCATCCAGCGGCAGATCTTTTTTTTCCTTTTATTAAGAAACGTCTGTGGTGATACCTTGTGTTGGCGAGGGAAGCTGATCACTGATAATTGTGGGCGCGAGCTGGGAGGAGTGCGGGGGGTGTGAATTCCCCAAGCCTCCCTGCACGTGGGGGACGATGCCAGTTAGGCCTGGGGGGTGCTGAGGGAGTGGGGTGGAGTGGAGAAAACCCGCGGCAGGGTGCGGGCAAGGCTGGGCCCTGGGGACCCCAAAATTCCCTTCCCTCAGGTAGGGGCTGGTTGAGTGCCTGTCCCCAAGGCAGGGGGACCTGGAGAGCAGAGAAGGGATCCAGCACACAAACTGTGTGCATCCCGGAGGCCCTGAGGAAGCTTCCGGGGCATGTCTGGGAGCAGGCCTGTGAGGACAGGGCGACAGGCTGGTGGTCCTCAGGTGGGAGCAGGTGGTTGTCCGAGGCAGAGGGCGGCAGTGGGGGGAAGGTTACCCCATTCTAGGGGACCTTCTTGTCGTTTCTCTGCTTGTACCCAGGCCCTCCCACGAGGCACCCCCGGGCCCTTTGGCAGAAATGCCTCTTCCCGTTCACCCCGTCTCCTCAACCTGAAGCTGGCTCTGCTGACCTCTCCTTCACTTTTCTGTGAATCTCCCTGGGCCAGCGGCCCTGTAGGGTGGTCAGACCAACCTCGGGCCTCTGGTTGCAGCAGCAGCGACTGGTTATTCTCATCGCTGCCGTCCACACCCACACTGGGGGATGGAGGTCCTTGGGGCTGCCCTCGGGGAGGCCGGGAGGGGTGGTGGACCCTGCAGTGGAGGCCAGGCTCCTCGGGAAGGGAGCTGGGGGCCTGGGGTGGGAGTGGGTGAGGAAGCCTAGCTGTCTAGGGGGCCCAGGGGCCTGGGAGAGGAGGGGAAGACACCCCACCAGCTGGGCCAGCCCAGCACCCCTTGGCGGGGCCCCCAGGCACCAGGCCCAGTGCGGGATGCCCAGGGGCCTGTCACAGCCCTGCTGGAGCGTCCTGGGGCGGGGAGGAGGCTGGGCCAGTGCAGGGTGAGCTGCAGCGGGGCAGGTGGTCAGGAGGGAGGGTCGGGCACTGAGGCCAGCATCTCCGCCCGGGGCTGGGGTCCTCAGTGGCCATGTCGGTGGTTGTTGACAGTGCCTGGCCGGCCTGAGGCACAGTTGGTGTTGCTTCCCAGCCCAGGTGGATGCGTCCAAGTTTATTTAAAGCTGCAGCCCCTGGCACCAGTCAAGCAACACTAAACTCCCTGCCTGGGAAGGGCCGGGCCACAGGCCCACAGCTGCTCTCATGACGCGGTCACCAGCCTCACCCTTCCCTGCCCTGTCCCCTTCTCCACCTGTCCCACCCTCGCCACTGCTGCCTCTGCGCGGGATCGTTCCCTGGGGACCCGGGCATCGGGTCCGAGGGCCAGGAGAAGCTCATTTCTGGGGCTCTGCCCTTCCTTGCCCGGCCAGGGCAGGGCTCCCTGACACCAGCCTGGAGGCCTAAGTCCTGGGTCAAGAGTCACCTTGAGCCCTGGACAGTCACAGGTCAGGGCGGTGAAGCCCTCGGCCCAACACGGACCGGCCAGCAACATGGCTTAAAATGTTTCCATATTGGATAGATTTTTTTAAATGGAAAAAATCTTCCAGGAGTAATAAAACAAACACTTGTGTCTCTTCTACCCGGAATTGGAAACTGTTCCCCTTTGTCATTTTGGCTTTAAGTCCTTTATTTTAAATTGTAAGAAGTAAAGCATTACAAAGAAATGTTAAGTAACCATTCTCCAAACCGACTGTCATGCATTTGGAATTTATCCTGCCAGACTCTTCTTACTTCATTTACGCACAGATAGAAGGATCGCCAACTAATATATAGGATTCTTTGGTGTTTTTTCTTTAAACTTTACATAAAAATTTGGGAACGTGCTTCTTCACTCAGCTTAGGCCTCTGGGCATCTGTGCATGGGGACACATTCTGACCTTTTGCTGCTGCTTGTGTGTAGTGACCGTAGTATCTGTAGTACGTCACGCTCCCTTCCTCATGGCAGTCTCGGTGTTCCCAGAGTTTCTCTCTTCCACTCCTGCAGCGGGTTTGCTGGCGCGCAGGTGTGAGGGTTTCTCTAGGGTTTGTCCCCCCTGGTGGGGTTGCCAGCAGGGGTCCGGGTGTTCTCTGTGGCCGCCCTGGGCCCACTCCCTCCGGCCCCCTCCCCGGGCTCGGTGCCAACCTGATTTGTCGGGCTGTTTGTTGGGTAGGAAGCAGTCTTGCATTTTGTGTTCAGGCTCCCGAAGCTTCCACTTTGGATATAATTCAGGCGTTCATGGACCCCTCCCCTTGGGGGAAGGTTGTAACAACCCCTAAGGGGCGCATCACTTCCAACATTTGATTTTATTTGATTCGAGTTGCCGGGGAATACCCCCTCCCCTCTCCCCCCATTTTATAGGCATAGAACTGCAGCTCAGGGTGGGTGGGCAACTTGCCCTGGCAGCCGGGAAGGCCCCCACCTCCAGCCCAGGGCACCCCTGTCCCTCCCAGCTTCCCCCGAAGCTCAGCTAGGCCCCGAGCTGACCTTGGTATGTCCTTGGTTCCATCCAGCGTGCCCCAGTCGGGGGACAGCAGGTCCTGTCCCGGGCTGTGACCCCTCTCCGGGAGGATAGCCATCGGCTTTCTCGGCGTCCTCTCAACTAGCAAGCGGCCTGCTAAGTAGTTAATAGATAAACTCAGGAAATTCAGAGCAAATCGACTGTGAGCCTCCTGAGCTCCGAAGCCTGGTTGCCAGGAAAGACAGGACTCAGGTGGGGGAGGAATCACCGTGTTTGCTTTCTCCGCTCTCGGGCACACTGGGTGCTTCCTGCCCCAGGGCCTTTGCCAGCGCTGTTCCCTCCTCCTCCGATGGCCACACAGGTCATCCCCCTGGCGGCTCAGCGAGGTCCCCGTGCCCTCTTCCCGCCTCCTGCCCCACTCAACCTCTCCCCACTTCTGTCTTCCCCTGTCACTTGGCACCATCTGACACCAAGGTGTGGGGCAGATCCTGCCCACAGTGGGGTCTCCTGCATGTGCGAGGAAGGGGTGAGTGAACCCGGTGGCCTCTGTCTCCTAGGCTGGCCCCCAGCGCTGGAGTCTGGGTGCCTAATGTAGGGTATTTAGAGAAGAAGTCGCACATGTTGAGGCTGCTGTGAGATGCACATGAAGGTGAGGCTAGTTTAGTTACTATTGAACGGTATTTTTATACCATAACCTACTTTGCTGAGAGCTAAGAATATATCTTGCGCTTGCGACTTGCACTCTTTCTCTGCTGGTAACAGTTAAATGGTGCTTATTACATTAAGCTGCTTGATCTGTGAAATAGGTACCGTGATCACTCCCAGTTTGCAGAAGAGGTGCCTGAAGCTCAGAGAAGCTCCACACGGGGCCAGGGTTTGAATCCAGGCAGTTGACTCTGGAATCCATCTTCTGCTTCTCTCAGAAGCTCATGACCCTACCCCATTCTGTGTTTTTAAAATACTGTTATTCCACTGGCCGACTCATGGCCCGCTTGTGGTCTCCTCTGACCCTGGGCTCCTCAGGGCCTCACCTGTCCTTAACAGGCTGCTCACCAAGCCTTCTTTGTGCTTTTCCAGCACAAAGGCACTGCCCTACGGTTCCTTTTTGTAAAAACGTCATTTCCTTTGGTCGTCCCTCTGTGACAACCAACACGGCCCCCATTTGAGGCCGGCAAGGCTTAAAATTTTATTTTATTGATTAAACAGGCAACAAGGATAGTATCTTATAAAGAAAAACCAATACATAAGTATGTGCAGCAAATGTGACTCTTCCACACTCAAGTTTCCTCATCCCCCAGAGGAACCTGGCCTGTCTATTTTAATGTCAGTATAAGGATATATGTGTGTGTATATAGACGCAGGTATGTATACTCAC